AAAATATCACAAGTACAACTATAGTTAAAGTTAGCGACTAAACACAAGAGTACTTAATTTTACAGCACATAATTATAAGAGACTAACAAAGTATTATATGAATTAATGCTGAAAATATTAAATTGACAAAAACAGTAAATAGCTTGATTTGCCAAACTTGAATCCATCGAAATCCTAGATTGTGGCCCATGCAGATCCAGTCGGCATGCACAGGGGAGAGGAGGAGGGCAGGGCACCGACCTTGGGTCGCCGACCCATTTGCACAGGCCATTAAAGGCCTGGTCAGGCGGGCAGTTAGGGTTACCCGCAGCCACAGGGGCCAGGAACCGCCGCCGTCGCTTGACTGGAGAGCGCCGCCGCCGCAAAATCTCCTCACCGCTCCTCTCCACTGCGCCGCCCGTGCTCGCCATCTTCAGGTCGAGGAAGACTCCCCCTTATCGGGGGAGTAGAAGCCGCTGCCACCGATGGCCATGTTCAGCACCTCCGCGCTTGGGAGGCCGAGATCCACCGGATTCTAGGCGCCGGTGCGACGGAGGTCGGGGCGTCTGTCCACTACCGCCGTCTTGCGGCCGAGGAGGCGTCGAGCGTCGGGGTTGGCAGCGTCTTGGCTGGAGGAGGACCCGGGAGGGCCTTCACCTTCATGCGGGCAGCGGCTTCCGCGCGAGTCGCGGGCAGAAAAACCAGTGTCGAGGTCGCCTTCGGAGGAGGAGCCGAGGGGCCGCCGTCGTCGAGGAAGGTGTACGGCGGGACGCCGGTCCTGGTCGCGAGCGTGCCGCCGGGGTTGAAGAGGTTGCCGACGCCGGGGGCAGCCACCATGTCCTCGTCCTCGGTCTTCACTTGCTGGAGCATCGGCACGGCGACGGTGTTGAAGATCCACGGATTGAGGACGCCGCCGGGCATGCCATTGTCAGCCGCCACTTGAGTCGGATCGACCGGTGTGGGCGATGGCAGCGTGTAGTTGTACTCCAACGTGTGTGGCATCAGCGTGTACTCCTTGCAAAAGTCACACCAGTAGCGAGGCGGTGCCGGTGCTGGCGACATCGGCTCCATGGGGACGTACGCGGGTATAGCGACGGGCTTGGCAACCACTTCATCAACGGGCGGCGCCAGGCTTCATCGACTGGTGGCGCTGGGGCTTCAACCGCTGGAGGCACAGCGTTGCTGGGGCTGGCACCGTCCAAGCCAAGGCGAGGAGATGGTGGCTGGCTCTACAGACGAAGACCGCACGGAGAAGCATGGCGGCCACGAACAGGAGTCCATCGACGGCGAGGAACTGCATTGGAACGGAAGCCACGAACAGCAGAGTCGAAGAGGCGTCCGAAAGGACCATGGCCATGACCATGGGCAATGTTGCGGCGAACACGAGGCCCAAGGCGCTCGAAGACGCTGCGGCGTTGTCCATGGTGGCAGTGGTGGCGGATCGGGCCACGGCGAACTCCACCGACGCGGCGAAGGGCAAAGAACAAGCCACGAACAAGATGTGAAGGTAAGTTGATCTTCGTCATGCTTACCAGTGATGGTTCAGAGGCATTCGTTGCCTCTGCGTTCTCCTTCTCTCTGTCCAGAAGAGCGAAAGTACCGATAACGTGTTAAAAGTGAATGGAATGAACAAGATTTTGGGAACAACTAACTGTTTCATTGATCTCTTTGAATTATATACAAATGAAGGGTCACGTTGTACGAGACGACGTGACTGTTTGGGAAAGTTAACTACTAATCTAATCTCTAATCCTAACTGCTTGTACGGACGGATGAGATCATCTATAGAAGGACGCCTGTTGGTGTCCTGGCGTCATTTCATAACAATACATACTGTCATGCTGACAACTGACAAGCTTACAATATAGTCTAGGCCTCGTTTAGTTCGGCCACCGAATCGGGGCCGCCGAATTTCCGATGGTACTGTAGCTACAGTACCATTTTGTTTTTATTTAGTAATAATTGTCGAATCGTTGACTAATTGGACTCAAAACCTACAGTACCATTTTGTTTTTATTTGGTAATAATTGTCCAATCGTTGACTAATTAGACTCAAAACGTTCGTCTCGCAAAGTACAACCAAACTGTGCAATTAGTTTTTAATTTCGTCAATATTTAATACTCCATACATGTACCGCAAGTTTGATGTGACGAAAAATCTTCTTTTTGCATAGTGTCAAATTCTGGAATTGGGGGAACTAAACATGGCCCAGTTTGGGATGCTAGCATGGTACCCTGCGCACGCATTTACCTACAACACATCCGGAGCACCTGAAGTCCGGAAATTGATCAAACGCATAAGCAAGAACAGAAATTTACATCCAAAAACGCAAATAAGAAATATCAAAACCCAGGGGAGCATTTCCCACAAATCTCTATTTTTAAGTTTTCTCCAACATAGAAGAGGACGATTAGAGACACTTCATTGCTATTTGCTATTTAGTAAGTTCCTATCAAGGAGTAACAGTAAAAGTTAACAGCCCTGTGCGGCAACGTTACGACGTACCAGGCAGAATCCCTGGTCAAAAGAGGACAGAAACTCAACAATGTAAGCAGGCAAAGTTACAATTGTTCGAGGGTTCCTTTAAGTGATTCAAGTGAAACGAACATGACTTTTCACAAGTGTACACAAGTTGCTACAAAGATAAATTTTGCATGCAAAATATTTACATATGATTGTCACATGCTACCATACTAACTCAATTTGCTAATCATATATTACATATACCAACTATCAATCAGAGGTTGTCAAATTGGGAATTAAAAAATGCAGAAAATAGCTGGTAAGCCTATAACCTTGTTAAGTAGAAGTAGGTAAAATTGACTAAGGCAAAATCAGCTTCACCTCGTGACTGTAGCTTTGTAGTTTAATTGACCTGGATAATCTCATGGCACAACACAGACTGATGTTCCAAGTGAAGCTATCGAGTTACATGCGGAGATGCAAGCAGAAAGTTCTTTATGTCCCAGGTTTCGCTTTGTTCAGTTGCTCTTTGGTACTTCCTCAAAAAGCAATAGTCATTCAGTACACAGGGCTCCAAGAATGTTAGCGTTTTTGTACCCATATATAATGGGGGCAGGGCCAACTGCTGGGAGCATTGGTACTTCACGATTCAGAATTCAGATGAAGTGCTGAAACTAATAAAGCTACTGCTTCAGACAGTAAACATATGAACAATTTTTTATTAAATGTAAAAGGGTAATTCACAAATCAGGGTGATGCCATTGTCTAGTGCAATTAAATAAAAAGTGTAATTCACAAATCCAGAGCCGGTAGGTGTGAGAAGAGGTGAATGTGAAGCCAAAGAGTCAGCGTTGCTAAACCCAGGCTCAGAGTGAACCGCTGAACCTGAATGGCAACTACTTCTCATGACTACATACACCGTTCTCCCATGGGTATGACACCAGCCATGGCATAGAAATTGCACCCTAGGACTCTAGGGATGTTTGAGGGGGAAGGATGGCGTAATTTGTAACTGTGAGAAGTAGTTGGCCGTGGATGAACAAGATTGCCCTCCATTTTGCATGATTTGTGCAACCATCCTCTGACAAGTGCATAGAGAATAATTGTAAGGTATTGAATCAACAAAGCTTCGCAAGCAAAATTGTCTTATGGCTTGTTTGGATCGTGGCCTCGCCTCGCCCCTGGGGAGGTCGATCCAGCCTAGGTCGTATTTGGAAATCCGGCTGGGAAGCTAAGTCGAGCTTCATTTCAAGCAGGTCGATCCAGCCTTTAAAAAAAGAGCGGCACGCTGGAAATCGAGGAGAACTCCTGGGGAAGCTGCCTGGTCCAGGCTTCATTTCTAGGTGCTGATCCAAACACGCCTTTAGTCTGTTAATATTACAAGGGAAAATAGACAACTCTATAGTATAAATGGTACTGTTGCTAACCAACTAAATGTGACTGGACCAAAAAAAAAAATGGAAAAAGTCTACTTAACCCCCACCTTTCATACATGGTCTACTTCAACCCCCCACCCCACCCCCCAACTATGAAACCGTCTGTTTTACCCCCTGAACTTTCCAAAACCGTCTATTTTACCCCCCCGGGCGGTTTTTGACATCGGTTTTGCTACAGTAACAGCATAGCAAGCATACCATAGTCATCTAATGTTGTATAATTAGTTAGTTCCGATGTCAAATACTCCCTCCGTTCCAAATTATAAGATGTTTTGGCTTTTCTAAATACATTGTTTTTACTATATATCTAGACATATACCTAGAAAAGCCAAAACGTCTTATAATTTGGAATGGAGAGAGTACAGAGTAACCTGTGCAATTGTGCCTTGCACATTGTTATGCCTTATTGATCAATAGTTCGACCCTAAATAATCCACATCACAGGGAGTTTCAGTCCGCTGTACCTTGCTGTTGCTGTGTGGGGGAAGAATGGCGTCTCTTCTGCCGGTGTGGGTTGGTCTCGCCGGTATGGGAAAGGGACCACGCTGGGCATGGAAGGCAGTGGCAGAACCAAGGTTTTGGCTAAGGGTATGCCAGACCAAAATTCTTACATGCAATTCAGTAAAATCAATTGAGTAATTTGGTAAACAATCCTAAGATTTGCCTCACAATCCGGTATACAGGTACTAATTAATATAATAAGTCTAAAATTCAGTGATTAAGTTTAAAAACTGCATAAACTACAAAACAACATAATAGTATTAAATACGCATAAAAAAGAAGCTTAGACAATAAGAAGCTGGATCAGAAACTACAGAAGTTTTGAACCTCCACTCTAGCAAAAATTGTTTGCACAACGGCTGGCAGCAATAACAACCAGGCTTCAAATCATATTAATCAAAACATAGGTGTCGACATTTAATTCAGCAAACGATTGCCCTGTTTGCTTGTCAAGCACCAGTACAACAATTATACCGACCACAAAAACATGTCTCTTGCAACCATAGAGCACGAACTTGGTGTTTTCACTCAACTAATTACATCAGGCGAGATTAAACATATGCATCGATTGTCGCCCAATACCTCAAGAGATCGAGAAGGCGCAATAACCCGCGCGGAGATCAGTGGTGACCATGGCCATGGTCATGGTCGTGGGAAGAGGACGGGCACTCGCCGCCACCGCCGCCGCTGGTCCCCTCGCCGGCGTCACCATGAGGGCGAGGGCACCGGTGGCCACCGCCGCCGCCGCCGCCGGGGGCCTCGTCGTCGCTGCAGTCCTCGTCGAAGGGGACCTCCTTGTGGAATATGCAGCACTTCTTCGAGCTCTTGCGGCCGAGGCCCTCGTTGTCCACCGTCCCCTCCTTCCACGACACCTTCTTCTTGGCCCGCCGCTTCAGGCGCAGCACCACCGACTCGGGGGACGGCGCCGGCGCCGACGCGGCCGCCGGGGGCGGGGCGGTGGAGGACGACGACGAGGGGGACGGGTCGATCGTCACCGTCACGGATCCGGTCGAAGAAGACTGCGGCGGCGCCCGCGTTGCCATGGAGATGGAGAATTTGGGATCCTCCTCCTCCTCCTCCTCCTCTGTCGCAGGGGCGGGGCGGCGCGGCGTCGGGCTCGGGCACAGCCGTAAGGCGACCTCGTCGGGCCAAATCGCAGCGAGATTGGGGAATGGCCGATTGAGTACGGAACGGAACGCGGTGTGGAAATTGGAGAGGAAGCGACGGTATATACGATGGCTTGATTGGATTCTTCTTCCCGCAAAAGCCCACGAAGTATGCCGCGGCCTGATTTATTGTTTGTGGGTTTTCGCAGTAAAAGTGAGGATGTCGGCCTTTTAAAAGCCTATCTGGAAGCCCAGATAAACTGGGCCATAAGGAGTTTTCGGGCTATCTGCTGAATGATTTTTTTTCAGTAGTTTTTGAGAGGCTCCTACATAGTTATTAACACCACCTGATATTTTTTGAGTTGACCAAGTATGGTTTCTTGACCAACAAAAATCGTTGGAGTTCAGATGCACATGTTCATCTCACAAGTTATTGCAGGAACAGTTGGTAATAAAGCAGGCCATATTTAGCATTTTGCCAAAGATATATGTTATAGCTGGGGCGCTGTTATTTTGGTGAGTTTTTGTTTTTCTTATAACGCTGAAGTATAGCAGCCACATTACTCCTTTTGATCAAGTATATGAACCTGAATTTGTGCAGGTCAGATTTCAGCACAGTCACAACACGCGTTGCTCGTGCTCTTCGCAGGCTCACTGATGGTTCTTGACTTGTGGGCAGCAATTCTTCTGAAAGCTTTCTGTGTGTGAACTTTAGGCCCTCTTCATCAGTCTTCACACCAGCTTCAGCTTTTCCTCCTGTGAAAACACTGTAGCATCGGCCTTCTTTCTCCAGCTAAGATAAGCTATAGCAAGGAGGAGAGATTGATGAAGCTAGTTTGGGTAGCTTCACTAGCTTCTGCTGTAGCGTGTGCTACGGTAGAAAATCCGAAGCCAACTGAAATATTACGAGAGAAAAACATTATTTCCACTGGAAAAAAAAAGTCGAACAAACTGGATATACCGAGGGGACCAAGCCATTGAAAGAGGCCCTTAATCAAAGTCCGTTACATGCACGTTGCTGGCCGGAGCAGTCACAGCAGATGTTAATTAGATGTATGGGTACGTCCTAATACTAATGGTCCATCAATCTAATCATTTGTGTCAAGTAAGCAGTCATTTTCTATCTCAATTGATGCGGCAAATCAATACCGGCCGGGTCGGAGAGCTCGCCTACTTACCTGTTTCGGATGCCATGTGGGAAGCATTTCATTTTTCTGTTTGCGTTTCTTGGAGCACACCGGCCAATTTATGATGGCTAGTTAGTAGGATGATACGTATGTATCTGTTTCGGTATTTCGTACTCAAGAAAAATCTCCTCCAACTAACCGTATTATAATGGCAAAAGGATTTCCTTTGATAAATAAATGCTGACAGCCGCTTTTATATTATGCCTGCCTGAACATATGACCTGCTGAAAAGACTATAAGAACAATATATATATGCCTGATTGAAAAAAATGAATAGTGCTCACCGTGTCAACACAAGGTGGGTGGAGGACAACGAAAGAGCCAGAAGCAAACAGTTTCCGGACGTGGTTGTGACAGTTTTATAGCGTTTTCAGAGCGATGCAGAAGCAGGACAGGATTCCTGGACAAACATTGCAGGTCTAACTTGTCTATATATTCATATTCAAACCCCTAGCTAATAAGAAAAATACAAGTAAAGCTGCAGAGCTAGCAGAGGTTAGGAGGGGGGGAAAACTACTGCTAGAAGCCTAGAAGCCTACTGTAGTCAACATGTGATGAAAGATCCTAGATCCCTAAACAATCCCTGACATCCACGGTAAACTAAACAATGTCACTACCAGCAGCAAAGGCCAAACGGGCAACTGCTCAACCAACTCGCACACCTTGCGAAGAAGCGAACAAAGAAAAGAGCCTTTCCTATGCACGATCGGTAACCACAAGCACGCCCGTTTCCGCGATGGATGCTGCGGCATGCTTTGCAAAGGTGGCTGAAGATGAGATCTCGAGCTCCCGGCTGCCTGCGTGCATGCGAGATTCTCGGCCGGCTACTTGCATGTATGCTCCCTCAATATCATAAAGAAAGTCGTTTTGGACATCGACGTTCAAAAAATAACTTTAATCACTACTTCTTGCTAAAAAACATTTATATAATATAGTTAATATATTTTTTATAAAACTATATTTCGAGACAAATCTACTTACATCACTTTTATATTTTTAAACTCAACCTAAAACAATTTATTTGCAGGCAGCCAACTGCGGGCGGAGGGTGATGCGGAGCTCGCGCCACCTGGTGCTTGACTGATTCCTAGCTGCTGCTGCCCGTAATCTCTTGTCTTGCTGCTGCCGTAGCATGCGAGCAGCATAATTAACTCTGGGTAAATAAAGGCAAGTGATGATGTGCTAATTTTTCTATTCTCCCCTGGCGCAGGCGCTGTCTGTACTGATGAGACTGAGGAGTGGTGGTGGACTGTTGGTTAGTGGTTACTGCCTGGAGGGTGGAGGCTGGCAGCGCTGCTACCCTTGCATGCACCAGCTTTGCTGCTGGTCCTTGCTCCGTTCCCAATTACAAGACAATTTAGCTTTTATATATATATTATTTTTAATATGTATCTAGACATAGTGTATTACAAAAACTACGTATCTACATAAGTCAAAACGTCTTATAATTTGAATCGCATCGAGTATTAGCTTGTGCGTAACTTGTAACCTAGCTAAAGCTACATCGTGAAGTGATGATGCTTTGCCTATTTACCTAGCTGTAGGATGGTTTGGTTCGGTGCGCGGTTTACATGATGAGCTTCAATGTTGATGCTTGACCACCATCATCATTCAGACGGAGTACGTGCAAAAGGAGGACTAAATGTAAGTCCAATCTCTGTGCAAATACACAGTAGATTATGTACTGGGTTATAATCTAACCCTAACATGGCCCACATGTGCGTTAGTAAGGATAATTAGGATCGGTACAAGCTCCCACCCACTAGGCTACTACCATAAAAAAGTGACAAAATAAATAAAAGAAAACTACGTTGAGAACCTATATTATTGATTCTCGTAAATAACGGTAATGCTCCTGATAGAGCGTCCGTCGTACGGACGGACCCCGTCCGCGTCGCCCACTCGCGGAACAGACCCCGCTTGTGCCGCCCCCGCCCGCGTCGCCCACTCACTCTGCGTGCTGCGCGTCTCTGCTCGTGGGACGGACCCGTCCTCGCCGGTGCCACCCCCACTTGCGCCACGCGCTCGAACTTGCGCCTCCCGTTGCGACCGTGCTCCATCAGCCTGTCGTGGCCCCTGCCAAGGTCCGTGCCACCGACGAGCTCCACAATCCTCAACGTCGACCTCCGCACCACTCCGTAGCATTGAGCTCTACGCCGGCGTCGAGCTCAGAGTTGACGAGCCTCTATTTTCGTCCAAACAGCAAGTAGATGTTGCGCTTGAAAGCGCATGTTGCAAGTGTCTGTTTCAAGTGTTTTATGCGTTTCAGAGGTATGTTGCAAGTGTTTCATATGGATGTTGTAAAAGTAGATCGAGATGTTGCATATGTTGCAATGGTTGTCCACGTATGTTGCAAGCTTTTATTCCCAATGTTTCATCTGTGTTTTCAGATGTATGTTGCAAGTGTGTTTATCTGGATGTTGCATATGTTTCACACATATGTTTGCAAGTGTTTTATCTGGATGTTGCGTATGTGTTTGCAATGGTTTCAAGTGTTTTCGGTGTTTTTGCAAGTGTTTCAGATATATGTTTCAAGTATTTCATCTGCCTTCAGAGACGTATGTTGCAAATGTTTGCATCTGAATGTTTCAAAAGTAAATCAGATGTTGAATCTTCCTTCTCACCTTCTGCGACCTCGCCTCGGTGTCACCTCCTCCTTCCGGCATTGGTTGAGCATCCGCCGCCTCCTCCTCCCTCTCTTCCTGATGCTGATGAAGCTCGAGGTAGCGCGGGTCCCATGTGGATGTGCAAAACGGGGGCAGGAAAAGAACTGCAGCCGTGGGCGTCCGGACGCCCCGTCCGTTGGTAAATAAATATGCATTAACATGCATGTACTATAGAGTATAGTAAACTTTGCAGCATCTTCCAAAGCACCACTGTAACTTAGCCATCACTAAAAAAATACAGCTAGTCGTACCATCTAATGAAATTGTATATGGAAAAAAACAATTGCAATGCAAGCACCGACGCGTGAAGCCACAGGCGATGCCCAGCTAGCTCAGCGCGTGTTGACGCCTCCACGTAGCGGCGTCGCCGGACTCACGTCGCTCGCATGAAGAGCGCCATTTATTCTGTTGGATCAGACATGAGATGAGAGCACCACCACCATCGCCTTAGGATTCTTGTTAAACAATGCATTATATACGTACACTGCGGCAGATCGAACTGAACCCACACCCCTGCTGCCTCGATGTCTCCCTGGCCTGTCCGTGTTTGGTGCTCAGTTACCATCACATGCACACTCCTCCTACACGTGATCATGTCCTTTTTCGCTTCACGCTTAGTAGTGCAGGTGCAGTAGTTTACCCAAGCTCTAAACTCGGCACAGGTCTCGCTACTTCTCTTCACCTGCACCGTTATTAGTTACAAACGCACAATGTGAGCACACACGAACCAAATGCCACTGGTGCTACACTGCTACCTGTTCCACTTGGTCTGTGCTGAATAAATTCTGCATGTTTTCTGCTCTGAAGCAGCACTTGGGACTCGGAACAGGTGTGAACTCCGAGCAGCAAAGCTGCCGGATCGGAACAGTGTATCTGAAACCGTGGAAGCAGCGGCAGCATTACCACTGGTCCCGAGTTCCAAAACGGCAGGCACATTCAAACGTATGTCCTCCGGTTTCCTAAAGATATCGTTTTAAACATTGACTACAAATAAATTATTTTGGATTGAGTTTAAAAACATGAAAGTGATGTAAGTAGATTCATCTCAAACTATAGTTTCATAAAAGTACATATTGACTATATT